TTGAAAACTAATGATGTAACACTGTGTGACCAACTACACGTATAACTTTTGGAAAACTAACCAAGTAACACTGTGTGACCAACTACATATATAACTTCTTGAAAAGTAAAGATAAAACACTCGGTGAGAAACTACACGTGTAACTTCTTGAAAACTTACAATTTAACACTGTGTGATAAACTACACGCACAACTTCTTGAAATCTAACATCTTTAAAACTCACAATGTAACATTGTGTGAGCAACTACATGTATAATTTCTTAAAAAATAACGATGTAACACTGTGTGAGAAACTACATGTGTAATTTTTGAAAAATTAAAGATGTAACACTGTGTGAGAAGCTACACGCATAGTGCCTTGAAAACTACCGAGGTAGTCCTCACTGTGTGAGAATCTACATGTGTAAATTCTATAAAACTAAAGATGTAACACTGTGTGAGAAATGACATGCACTTCTACTTGAAAATTAAAGATGTACAACTGTGTGATCAACTACGTATATAACTTCTTGAAAGTAAAGATACAATACTCTGTAAGAAACTACACTCATAATTTCATGAAAACTAACGATGTAACAATGTGTGTGTGAGAAACTGCATGCCTAACTTCTGGAAATCTAACAATGTAACCCTGTGTGAGAAACTACATACACAACATATTGAAATCTAAAGTGGTAACAATTTGTGAGAATGTAAATGTGTAACTTCTTGAAAACTAAAAATGTAACACTTTGTGAGAAACAGCATGCACACATTCTTGAAAATGATGATGTAACACTGTTTCAGAAACTATATGCACAACTTCTTGAAAACGAACGAGGTAACACTGTGTGAGAATCTACATGCATAACTTCTTGAAAACTAAAGATGTAACACTGTGTGAGAAACAGCATGCATACATAAAAAAGTGTTACGTCATTATTTTTCAAGTATGTATGCATGCTGTTTCTTAAAAATAATGACGTAACACTCTTTGAGAAACTATACACACAACTTCTTGAAAACTGACAATGTAACACTGTGTTAGAAACTACATGCACAAAATATTGAAAACTAACGATATAACACTGGTGAGAAACTACATGCATAAAGTTATGAAAATTAACGATGTAACACTGTGTGTCCAACTATGTATATAACTTCTTGAAAGTAAAGATACAACACTCTGTGAGAAAGTCCACACATATCTTCTTGAAAACTAACGATGTAATACTATGTGAGAAACTACATGCATAACTTCTTAAAACCTAATGAGGTAACACTGAGTGAGAAAGTACATGCATATCTCCTTGAAAAAAATGATGTAATACTGTGTGGGAAACTACATGCATAACTTCCTGAAAACTAGCGATTGAACAATGTGTGACCATCAACATATATAACATCTTTAAAAGTAAAGGAAAAACACTCTGTGAGAAACAACACGTGTAAATTCTTGAAAACTAACGATGTAACACTGTTTGAGAAACTACACGCATAACTTTATGAAAAGTAATGAGGTGACACTGTGTGAGAATGTACATGTGTTACTTCTTGAAAACTAAAGATGTAACACTGTGAGAAACTACATGCATAACTTCTGAAAAAATCACGATGTAACACTGTGTAAGAAACTGCAAGCATAACTTTTTGAAACCTAACGATGTAACACTGTGTGAGAATCTACATATGTAACTTCTGGAAAACTATGTAAGCAAAGTATACACACAACATCTTGAATACTAACGTAACTCTTTGTAAGAATCTACTTGTGTAACTTCTTGAAAACTAAAGATGTAACACTGTATAAGAAACAACATGCACATATTCTTAAAAAAACAATGTAACACGGTTTGAGAAACTACATGCACAACATCTTGAAAACTAACGATGTAGCACTGTGTGAGAACCTACATGAGTTACTTGTTGAAAACTAAATATGTAATACTGTGTGAGAAACTGCATGCATAACTTCTTAAAAACTAACGATGTAACACTCAATGAGAAAATACATGCATAACTCCTTGAAAACTACCGATGTAACACTGTGTGAGAAACTACACGCATAACTTATTGAAAACTAGTGATGTAACAATGTGTGACCAAGTACATATATAACATCTTGAAAAGTAAAGATACAACACTCAGAGAGAAACTACATGCGTAACTTCTTGAAAACAACCGATGTAACACTGTGTGAGAAACTACACAGATAACTTCATGAAAACTAAGGAAGTAACACTGTGTGACAATCTACATGTGTCACTTCTTGAAAACTAAAGAAGAAACACTGTGTGAGAAACTATAGGCATAACTTCCTGAAAAATAGTGATGTAACACTGTGTGAGAAACCACACGCATAAATTCTTGACAACTAACGATGTGACAGTGTGTCACCAGCTATGTATATAACTTCTTGAAAGTAAAGATATAACACTCTGTGAGAAACTGCACACGTAACACCTATAAAACTAACGGTGTAACACTGTGTGAGAAACTACATGCATAGAGTCTTAAAAATTAACGATGTAACACTATGTGACCAACTACGTATATAACTCCTTGAAAGTAAAGATACAACACTCTGTGAGAAAGTACATGCATACCTTCTTGAAAACTAATGATGTAACACTGTGTGCAAAACTACATGCATAATTTCTTAAAAACTAATAATGTAATACTGTGTGACCAACTACACACATGAATTCTTTTTTTATTTTAAATTTAAATTTAAATAGAAACAAGGTTGCTTCACATGTCAATTCCAGGTCCCTCTCCGTTTCCCTCCCCTCCTCCCATGCCCTCCCACCAACCCCCCCCAATATCCCCTCATTTCCCCCAGGGAGGGTGAGACCCTCCATGGGGGTGTACATAATCTGTCATTTCATCCAGGGCAGGGCCTAGACCCTCCCCAAAGAGTTCAGAGTGAGAGTGCATCTCTCATTGTTGGATGGGAGTCCAAAGTCCATTTGTATATACGGGATAAATACTGATCTACTACCCAAGGCTCAATAGATTACCTAGGCCTCCTCCAGCAATTGAAGCACAAACAATAGAGGAATGCTGCTTACTAGCTTGTTCACCATGACTTGATCAGCCTGCTTCCTTATACAGTCCATGACCACCTACCCAGATATGGCACTGCCCACGCTCCCATACCAGTCATTAATCAAAAATTGCCCATAGACTTGTCTACAGGCCAATCTAAAGGAGGCAATTCCTCAGTTGTCTTCCCTGTTTCCAGCTGAGCCTAGTTTATGTCAAGTTAAGAAAAAAACTGACCAGAGCATGGGTACAAAGCAGTTTCCAGTATAGCCTGGTCTATATAGTGGGAACCTGAGTCAAAAGTACATCCCCCAACCATCCTACCAAAACCTAGCAAAAGCAAATTCTGAGGTAGACACAGTACCATGAGTGCATGAACATGCTCTCTCTCTCTCTCTCTCTCTCTCTCTCTCTCTCTCTCTCTCTCTCTCTCTCTCTCTCTTCTCTCTCTCTCTCTTCCTCTCTCCATATATATATATGTATATATATATATATATATATATATATATATTTCTCTCTCAATCTCATTCTCTCCTTTAATTCCCAGTTCTGGAGACTGTGGAAAATATATGAGAAAGTTGATGTCAGTCAAATTTAATGAGATCAGGCTTAAAAATGAAAATGGCTACGGGTATACATAGTGATAGTTAATTTTCACTGTAAACTTGATTAGATTTACAGGAGATTAGCAAAGGATACCTTTGTGTGTGTGTGTGTGTGTGTGTGTGTGTGTGTGTGTGTGTGTGTGTGTAAAGCTTTGTCCAGAAATATGAGATTTTGAGAGCTTAGGCCTAATCAATGCATGAATCCCTTGATGAGTTCATAAAGTGGAGGCATTACTGAGAGGTGGGGCCTCTGGGTAGGAAGTCAGTGACTGTAGGTTTTACCTGAGACTAGATATTGCCCTGACTCCTTCATGTTCTCTCCTTTTTTTCTCCTGACTATCCAAGAAAAATTGAAGAAAGCTCTCTGGAATACACTCCTATCACATTCTGTTCAGCACAAGTTTATAAGAAATGCAAGCCTGAATTTAGCAATCTCAAACTATGAGCCCCAAAGGAGACTTTCCCGTTGAAATTATTTTCCCAATCATTTGGTCATAGTGATAAGAACACTAACTGATGAGATATTTCTCAATGGTAGGGAACTTGTATGACATATAGGAGATCCTGACTTAAACCATGGAAGTGTACCACAAAATTATTGCCCCATAAGGATAAGCCCAGAAAATTCCAGTGTCCTATCATGACATCACTTCTGTTCTTACAGGGTCACACCTTCATGGCAGGAGGGCTGAGTGTTGGGACACATGCAGCCAGAGTCCCCTGCATCACAGAATTTGTATCTGTCATCTGAAAAGAGGCAATAAAGGAGGGAGAAGAGAAAGAGATTAGAGACAGTGATCTCCAACTACTGGAAAGAACATCTTAATAAATATTTTCCCAAGGTAGACAAAGTAGGCTCAGTGGCTAAAGGTGCTCACTACAAGCCTAGCAATCTGAGTTCAATTCCCAGAAGTCACATGGTGGGAAAAGTGAACTGATTACATCAAATTGTCTTCTGATCCCTGGTATGTACATTTCCCAAATTGTATAAAAATTAATTTTCTGTCATGATCAGTACCAGGTCTCCAAAGGCTGTCCTTAAGATCTCCAACATGCCCTCATAAGAGTGAGCAAAGTCAATAGTGCAAATGTCTACTGTTAGTGACTGTGACGTGGTACATGAATATAGGACGTTGAAATGTGTTTATTGCACCAGACAGAAAACTTAAGAAGAACTTATCTCAGTCTCAGTAGTAGGGCAAAGCTAGTGACAGATGCTCATAGTGGTAACGTTTGTGTGAGCAACTTCAGAGAAAAAATGCTGGCCTTATGACTTCCCTTAATAGTCCTATCATATGATAGACAAAAGGAGGACTGTTTTCTTCAGTGGAATGCCAATACTTGCTTCATAAGTATGGAGACACACAGAAATGCAGATTGTTAATTTTTATTTCTCAATAGGAAATTAACATCTTACAGAGTGTTTATCACAGTTAAAACAAAGATCACAGGGTTATAGGTATCTTGTAACAGCAGTGCTGTGAGGATGGTTCACAAAAAATAAGAACAATGCTTATAGAGGGCATGTGGTAAGAGTCTTGTGTATAGAGTTCTGTGACAGTGCTTAATACAGTAAAAGAGGTTAAGAGATGTCCTATACATACAGTAAATGAGGTTAAGAGAGGTCCTATACGTTGCTTACAGAGTAAAAACAATAAATCAGTGCTATAAGAGGGATACACAAAAAGATCAATGCCAACATTTGACACATGGTAGGACCAATTTTCAAAACAGTTCTTGGCATGTAAAAAGTAAAATGATGCTTAAATTTCACTGCTGAAAATTTTTGTTTTTGATGTTTAGGATTTCACAGTTTTACTCATAATCCTGATGCCCACCATGTTCTTCAAATCATGGGCTTATTTCTCCTGTCTGGGACAGAGACAAGAAAAAAAGGAAATCAAGTGTCAGTGAGATAAGATTGCCCACTCAGTGTTCAACTCCCCCTCCTTCACTACAAAGCATACATGCCCTCCTTCCGCAGGACCTTGGACTCTCTACTCTCCAAGTCAAGGCTCTGATCTAGAGCACAGTGACTGTCTAAATTGGCCTCTGAATTCTTATGTCAGAGGAAGGTGTGGCCTGCATATTAAGAGCTGAAATGGGATTTGGGAGCCTGAAGCATTCTGGGTAGGAAAGATTTCTAACATAATTGACAGAGAGTAGAGAAAGTATGGGATATTGCATTCACCTGTTATGTTGTGCCCCAAAGGATTAGATGTGGATTATTGTTAGGTCCCAGTGACCATGGGGAATCCAATATTATATGAAAAAGATGTATGTCCCAGGGTGTGCAAAGTATGTCAGAGTGTTACTTACAGGTCCAGCCTTCCTCTTTTTCATCTTCATCCTCTTCTTCCGGGTCACTGATCTCTTCATATATCACTGGCTTCTTCCGTTCCCTTAACCTGTGACTCCATATGCTCAACTTCCTTTCATTGTGTTCTGAGATAGAGAAAGGTTAGTACATGAGAGCAGGTGGAAAGAGGGTTTCAGGGTTTTGTTTTGTCAGAAAAGTACAGGGCTTGGGCCTCACATGTGCCCATGGGCATTGTTCAAACATGAGTTAAAATATCTGTCACAGACAGACTGAGACAGCAGGTTGTCGCCAATTTGGACCAAAGACCACTTCAGTGAGGACCATCCCCTGTGACCTATTTCATCTAGGATGTGCCTGTGGGTACATATTATAGATGCAGCACTTACTGGAGTGAGACATTTTACTAGTTATCATGTGGGACAGGATGCATGAGGAAGGTTTGACTTAGCTGGTGCTGGAATTTTTCCAGTATAAAGAAATTGTTTAATGTAAAAACAGAAACAACAAAGTGGCAACAACAAAACCACATTGCAGATATCAAGCTCCAAATTTCTGAATCTATTATATTTATGGTGGGACCCCATGGAAACTAGCCTGCTTAACTGTAGAATTGAAGGTCTGTGGACACTTTGGTTTTTAGAGCTGAGAAGACAGCAAAGGAACATATTTGGCAACGTTATTGATGATTATGTGTGTTAATCAAATACACAAGGTCTGTGTGATAGAAGCTCATTTGGCAGCTCAAGCCTGTAATCCCAGCAATCAGGAAACTAAGTCAAGGAGATGCTCTAAATCTGAGGCCAGGTGGCAGCTATAGCATTAGAACTAATCTTAAAAATTCCATTCTATTTCCTCTGTTCATCTTTAACGTATATTCTATCTCTTACCTGGGCAGTAATACATGTTTATTCATTCGTGTGTGTGTGTGTGTGTGTGTGTGTGTGTGTGTGTGTGTGTGTGTGTGTGTGTGTGTGCGCTCACGGGCTTGCATGTAGAGTAGGAAAACAAGTATTCTCTGCTAAGCATGATCTGCTTGCCTCTAGTTCCAGCTACCTGGGATAATGAGGCAGGATGTTTCCTCGAGTTTAGGAATTCAGTACCAACATGGAAATAACATAAACTGTGTTTCTGAATGCATAAGCAGGCAACTCCTTTCTAGGCTGCTCACACAGAATAAATTCAGTTGGGAGTAAAAATGTATTTCCTTAATATATTTTAGTATAATAATGGGGAAAATTTATCTTTATTAGATTTGAGTATGCAGATATGATGCTGATTCTGAAGATTTAGATATATCTATTATTTAAAATTATAATTACTCTGTGATTCATGAGCAGTATTTATCATGAAATGCATAGCTTTAAGAAAGAAATATTTCAAGCATGCAGATACTAATGGAGAATCACAGAGTTCAGTTGGAGCTCAGCATTATCCCTCAAAGTGCTTCATATATGTCTGGTGCCTTTAAACAAACCAGCCACAGCTAAAGCTGTCTGTTCAGCTCCACTACCCTCACCCTCCTTCCAGTTCCAGTCAAGCATCTATACATTTACTACTTACTTACAACCAATAAAATATACATTCTCCTTTTGCATGCCTTAGAATTTTATGTTGTGCCCAAGTGTGTAACTTTTCAATACCATTCTTCCCTCAGCTTTTACCTAGGAATGGAAGATTTGTGTGTGACCTTCCCTGGCACTTGGACTGAAAAGTTTTTTTTGAACAAAATCCCTCCATGTCTACTCACCTTGACTCTCATGGCCACAACCTTCATCAGAATCACTGAGCACAGATTTTGTGGCCTCTTCCTTGGGTTCCATGAAATCTGGGAGATGGGCTTTGAGGCCTAGAAAGAATCAAGACGTTTCTTCCTTATCAGACAACTGAGAAGAGGAACGCAGGGATCTGGCACAGGGATGATGGCAGACAACAAAGTCCACCAGAACAGAGGCCTACAGGAAAGAAAATTGAAGGCTACAGGGATGATTGCTGTAGTGGCTGGTCTCTGCTTCCAGCCCTGCACAGAATGGAAAAGAGCAGAATATTCAGCAGTTGCCTTGAAATCTCTCTTGAAAAGAGAACATGGCAAGAGGCTGAGAAGAAACCCTAGCATAGAAAGGGATTGGAGGACACTCAGGCTTGTCTGTACTCAGAACTTCCTCTTACCTAGACTTGTCATGGTTGTGTAGTTTCTTTTCATATACACATATGTGATTTTCTCTGAATAGCTCAGCTTTGCCCACTCTTCCTTAGAGAAGTATTTGGAAATATCCTGGAAGGCCTAGAAAAGAAGGAAAAATTCAATCTGGCAGCTAGTCTGCCATGTGTGTGTGCCACACAACCAAGACTATGTCCTTGGCTCCTAGACCTCTGTGTCACCCTTGAGAATTGGGGAAAACCCTTGATGAATGATTTGTGAGCAGAATGAAGCTGTGAACACACTTTCCAGACTGTTCCTTAGCATGCAATAGAGATTTGTTGCTGCTTGGTTGCTCTCCTCCCACCTTCAAGAAGGGTAGGGCAGTTTCCAGATTAGCATAGCAGAAGATAACAGGCCTGCTGACTTCAGAGATGCTAGGGAAAGATCTTCTGGCTTTGGGTTTCCTACTGTAACCTTGCTACTTTTCCCCAGTGCTTCTGCAGTCATCTACTGATAAATCTAATTTTCCAGGCCACTCCTCTGTCCCATGTAGATCACCTTACCTTACATGTCTTCTCTGGGCTATGCTCAGTTTTCCTGAGGTTCACTGAACAAGAATTCCTATTATTCATGATCGTGGGGATGCGATCTTAAAGGAAAGCTTGAATATTTCTAGCCTGTGGAGGAGAACAGCATGAGTCAATCACCTGAAATGAAATTCTACTAGTTTACATTATGGCTTGTTTGTTCCCAAGGAATTCTGTGGAAGGAAGTCAGGGGATAGACTTATGTGGGTTAGGAATGAAAGTGTTTCTGTGGCATGACGGAAGTCACTTTGAGTCTCTGAGAGCAGGTCAGATACCACTGTTACTAGTCCTCTGGGGTATGTCTTGATCTGAATTGCACACAGAAAGTTCTTGGTGAATGACTGAGGCAGAGACGATAAAGTGATAAAGTGCGGGTAAAATGTTGATTTCATTGGGAGTCAAACATTGCTCACTGGTGATGGGAGAAGAGGCATAATAAATACCAAATGCCATGAGAGGGGAGTAATGAGTAAGTGAGATGACCACAGTTTACAACTGATCACTAATTTTATGAAGTGCTGAGTCAGAAGCCTGCAAACAGACTTGGCGATTGTTAAGGACAGGAAGTGTTAATTGTCCTGATTTGATGACCATGTACTGGGTATATATCTTGATTTTTCACACTGTATTCCGTAAACATGCAGCCATATCATATGTTCAGGAAACAACAGACAAAATCAGAAAAAATTCTTCTTAGGTAGTCAGGCTTGATGCTGAACAACAGTGAAACAGGTAAATAGGGAGGTCAAGGTCAGCCTGGTTTTATAAGTGAGGTATGTCACAAACATGAAACATCAAGCAAAAAAATAAAAAAAGCATTTTTATGAGGCAGTAAAGTAAATGTGCAGTATATTTTTAGAGGTTAAATCTTAACCTTCAAAAACCAAAAAAGAAAAATAATGACTTATAGTTAATACATTTATAGTTAAAATGTACTTTCATTTCATGATGATGGAATTTTTCTCACCACACATTTTAACCTTCTGTTTATTTTAGACCCAAAAATGTACATAAGTGCACACACAGGCACATGAGTGTGCATATGTGCATAGAGGCCAGGGTTCAGTATCATGTGTCATGCCTCAGGAGACATTCCCTTTGTTTTTCTAAATCAATGTCTCTCCCCCAGGACTGTGGACTTGCTGAACAGGGAGCTTCAGAAAACCAGCTTTCTCCTCTCCAGAGAACTGATGACAAGTGACTGCCTTCTTTCTCAGCTTTGGGCTTTGAATAGAGTGCAGTGAATGAATGAAACTCAGGTCCTCATGCTGGCAAGGGAAGCTCTTTATCAACTGAACTATTTCCTCAAGCCACTCAGCATATTAACACACACACACACACACACACACAACACACACACAGAGTACATATTTGTATACACTGATATTTCATTCTATGTATGTGTGTCAGTGCATGTGTAGGTTCTTGATTTTGCCTTTGAGCCTGGATCTTGCTAAGACGTCCTTGCTGGCCCCAACTCCTGGATTCAAGGTACTTTCTGTCTCAGTGTTGAATGGATTAGACTTACAGGCTTATGCGCTGGTGTGTCCCTCTGGTATGTAATTTTGAATGTGATGTTCAAGGGAACAACACTGATATGAGCTCTCAAAAGGATGGAAAGTACTGTGTGTGAATTTAGGATATGTTGCTGGGTTAATCTGGAAATTATGTGAGTGAAAACAAGTACAATCCATGAAACAACAGGACCCAGCATGACTCACCCTGAGGAAATATAGATGCTTTTAAATTTGAGCACCCAAGGCTAACCTTGGAGACCAAGACAATTGGCACTTCATCCTGTCTGATTTAATAAAGCAGCCCCTTGAGCAGAGGCCATTTTCTCATCTAGCACTGAGGAAAATTAGGAGCATGTGGCTAATTTAGGGGTTTCTTGCACTGGGAGTAGTTTTGTTTCCTTCAGAACGGTAACATACTACTCTCAGAGACCTAAGATAACGATTTTGTCTGGGTTTGAAGGGACATTCGGCATCATGTCAAATCTCATAACTAAAGATACCCAGTATCACAGAAAGCACAAGGAAGTCACAAGCACTTGCTTGGTCTGCAGCATCCTCCTACATTACTTTCTTTTTTGTTCTGGGGCAGGTACTAGGGTTCAGGGCCTCACACATCCTAAACAAAGGCTTTACTGAAGAACTACATCCCAGGCCCATCCTGTTTTCTATCTACCTTGGTTTAACTGTTTAAAAACCTCAGTCCAAGAGAACCTACTACAGATGCTAAGCTTCTGCAAAGCTATCCCACAAAATGTGGCTGTAATTTCAATATAGACTGATGATCAGCAAATTAGGGCAGGAAGTGAATATAAACTAGCCAATCAGCATCAGGAAACCGCATGTGGCCCAGAGGTAAGGAAGGATGTGATGTGATATCAGGTCCTACAGGAAGGAAGTTTTTCTAAAACTATCCTGGTCACTGGGTGATTCTGTCTGAAGAGGCAATTTTTCACTGAGATGCACTATTCTGGGGTCAACTGGGTTGCCTGTTCACGTGCACCCTCAATTTGTTTGAGAGGGGATTGTTTGTGAACATTGAACTCAGGATTTGTCATCTCTGGGATTAAGGCTTTGGGTCTTCCTTGTGTACCCTGCCTCCTCTTCATCTACCTCCTTCTGGTGAACAGTAACCGCTTTTATGAAATGGTTTATATAATGCAGACCACCACCTCAAGTTCTTCTCATAATGTAAGATGGAAAATCTTCCCGAGGATCTCTAGCATAATTTTTTAAAACCCTCAAGTTTGTAAAAAGTAAATTTGGAACTGCAGAGATCACTCGGAGAGTAAAACTGCTCACCATCACACCTGGCAACCTGAGTTTAACCTCCAGAATCCACAGGATGGATGGAGAAAACCTCCCACATGTTGCCCTGTGACTTCTGGCTGGAAGGCATAGCTTTCCCCTCAAAACAAATAAACAAATAAAAAGTAATTATTAAGATTTCAAAAATTTCTGCATGTGCTTTTTGCTCAAAGACACAAGAAGTAGAAGCATATTTAGTACTTACTGATATTTATAGCAACATTATTACAGAGCATGTGTGTTGTGACCCCTTGGGGATCCATTAACCCTTTCTCAAGAGTCACCTAAGTCCATTGAAAAACACAGATAATTACATTGAGGTCCATAACAGTAGCAAAATTACAGTTGTGAAATAACAATGGAAATAATTTTATGATTGAGGGTCACCACAACTTGGGAACTATATTAAAGGGTCATAGCGTTAAGAGCCTGTCATGTCCCTGAGTGGGATTCCTAAATTACTTTCTATGGGAAGTCACTAATGACACCATCACCAGTGCCTTCCAGACTTCATCAATTTTCTCAGCTTTCCAGCCACAGCTTTGACCTAAGCTGCTCTTCTCAGAATGACACAGAAATCTCTCCTGACAGGGAAAAGACACATGGCACTTGGTCCAAGCACAAAGACCTTTCTCTGGGTCTTCTTAAATTTTCACAGTATCTTGAGTTAAGTCTGTTGTCACACCCATTGTGAAGATGTGGTTGTGGTTCAGAGAATTAAGAAAGTTACTTCAAGTAACACAGGCAGCAGGTAACTCCTCAGAGTCTTAACCCCAATGTGAATTGAATCCACAGTTGGCTATTAGTTATACTTCTGTATTGCTTCACCCACTTATTGGTCACCTGAATCTGTGAATGCAGTTTAAAACTGCAAGATGAAATGTCATTCTCATGATCTCAACCATAAATTTTGTAGCATAATACAACAGAAATTTGACCCATGGATGAGTCATTCCAATGTGTTCTTTTATGGTCATAGTGTTTTCTTCTCATTTGTCTGTGAGGAATCTGTCTCTGCCTCTATCTGATAAGTATACTTGAGATTGAATTTAAGGGCTTAGGTGGTCAATCACTATGATCTTTTTAATTACAACTTTAAAGCCTATTTTTAAGGAAGTTATCATTTACAAGCACCAGTTATGATAGCATAATATTTCTAAGTCCCATTAAAATAGGAAGAGTAAGTCAGAAGCCTTGGTATGAAGTTATAGATTTACTGGTGTATTAGTGTTTTTCTTGCTGTGAAAAGACACCATGATCACAGGAACTCTTATAAAAGAAAACATTTAATCGGGTCTGTCTTATAGTTTCAGAAGTTTAGTCCATTATTGTCATGGAAGGAAGCATGCAGACAGACATGGTGCTGGAGAAGGAGCTGAGAGTTCTACATCTAGATCACCAGGTGACAGGCAACTGTGTGCCACACTGGGAATGGCTTGAGCTTCTGAGACTTCAAAGCCTGCCCCCAGTGGCATACCTCCTCCAACAAGACCACACCAACTCCAACAAGTCCACACCTTTTAATAATGTTACTCCCTATGACTCCATGGGGCCATTTTCTTTCAAACTACTACTATTAAATTTGGAAAACTAGGCATCTTTGATGCCACTGGTGTTGGTGTCAGTGCAAACAGGTTAAGGGAAATGGGATGTAACAGACTTGAGTTCACTTCCCAGACCCTATAAATAAGCCAGACCTCTAGCTTCCCAGAATTTTCATTTCATCTTCCATAAAACAAGATAATCAATGAATATTTCTTGTAGATTTGTCATAATTTAACTTGTAAAATGCTTAGCATAAGGCCAGAGAACAAAATAAATGATCAACACATGTTAGCTTTGTTGCTTTGTTAAGCAATGAACATGGCAAAAATAATAATGTGTCATTTTCTGTACACCCATTGCTTGATTTTTAAGAAAACTCATGGAATTCTCTAGATAAATCCCTGGGCTTTGTGGAATCTAGACTAGCTCTGCATTACTGAGTTTCACCCTTATCCTTTCCAATGATATTTGACATATTCTTCCCGAAAACATGGTATAATTTGTTGGCCTTTGTACTACATGTGATATATGAACAAGGAAGACTTCATAATTTCTCTAAAATCAGTATACAAATTCTAGAAGGAAGACTGAAGATCATATCCTAGCTTATTCTTCACCACTAAGCTAATCTCCACTACGGGAAATAACTCTAAACCCCTGTGCTCCAAAAGAAAAACTGCATTCAGGTAAGGGCTGGAGAGATAGCTCAGCAGTTAAGAGTAC